ACAGGGAAGAGGTAACTATGGGGAGGATGTGAGAGGGGAGCTGTTGCATCGGGGTAAATTGTAGTCAATGTCATGAGACAAAGTGTATGTGAACTGCTATATGGAAAGTGAATTTGCTCTGTAAACTTTCACCCAAATCACAATAAAATTTTAAAAAAAAGATTCAATAAGATTACGAACAACCAAAACCAAAAACCAAACCCACTGCTGTTCAATCAATTGACCTTACAGGACAGAGTCAAACTGCCCCATAGTGTTTCCATGTTTGTAGCTTTATGGAAGTAGATTGACACACCTTTCTCCCGCAAAGCAGCTGGTGGATTCGAAGTGCTGACTTTCTGGTAGTCACCGAGTGCTTAACCACTGCACCCCCAGGGTTCCTTAAGATCATGAACACAGACTTAATTTCTCTGGAATACAGTGAGCACTCACCAAAGAAAAACTGTCCTCATTGTTAAAGAAGAATCCGATCAAGGAAGGAAGCACACCACCCAGTCTTTACTCCTGCCTTCATCATCCCAGGGGTCTCAAATTGGAGTCTACCCAAATCTTTCTTGCTATAGTTCCTTCTACCTGCTAAGAGTAGCCCTTGGAAAACCAGGAGTTACCCCAAAAGGGGACTTAACACATTCTCAAATATAACCTTCTCTTCCCAAATAGTTCCTTTCCACAGGTGAAGAAACCAAGGTTCAGAGAAGGGGTGACCAGAAGGCAGAGTAGGAGACAAGGACAGACAGGCATTCAAGAGCCTTGGGTCCCATGCATGCCCCTGCCCACTCCTTGTTTCCCAGCCTTAGAATGCTCACATACAAAATACTTAACCTCAAAACCAAACTCACTGCCATCGAGTCAACTTGACTCATAGCGACCCCTCCTTAGGTTTCCGAGGCGGTCTCACTATGGAAGTAGATTGTCCAATCTTCCTTCCACGGAAACAATAATAATAACAACAATGATTGAAATGATAAGTCAACCTGGGGGTTCCTCCAAGGACTATGGAAGGGATCCGGTGAGACTCTTTGAAAATTATAACCCTTGGGACAGTTGGGACTTTTCAGTACTATCTCAGAAGCGTCACTAGGGTTAGTGTCCCCTAGTGTGGTAACTCTTGGTATCACCCTCCCCACCCATGGACCTCCTCCTGTGCCAGACCATCTAGATTCCTTGCTGTCACTGTCATTGTTGTTAGTGTCATCATGTCCGTTCCCTACATACCACAGAGCGGAACACTGCCCAGTCCCGCCATTTAGTCACCGAATTACATGTGATAAACATAGTTGTAAGTTGTTTAAATGTAGTATTTCTAAACACCACATAACGTGGATGAACTTGGAGGACATTATGCTGAGTGAAATAAGTCAGTCACAAAAGGACAAATATTGTATTAGTCCATTATTGTAAAAGTTAAGGAAAGGTTTATCTATTGGAGGAAATTTTCTTTGTTGGTTACCAGGGGTGGGAGGGGAGGGGAGGGAACACTGTTAGATAGATAGAGATAAATATTGATTTGGGTGAAGAGAAGGGCAATGTACCAAATGTGAGTGACCAATATGGCAGCATTGAGGATGAGAAAGACATAGAGAGGTACATGGGCAGTACAGACAACAAATATGAACCCTTTTGCATATACAGTACTGAGTTGTCAGTGAAAGCAAACATGGGTATATGGACAGATAGATAGGAGGACAGGCTAAACAATTAGGTATGTCTAAATGGGGAGTATATCCAAGATCATAAGTAGGGTTGGCAGACAATGGTCCTATAAGTTTATGGGAATGATCAGAATTCCCAGGTGTATAGTAGAGCTGACAAGGGGCAAGGTTATGGTCATTGCTTGGTCACAGCCAGCTACCCAGAGGGACCGAGTAGTTGATCCTGCGGGCTTGGGACCATAGTCGCAGGGGATATCAAGCTCAATTGGCATAACATACTATACAAAACATTGTTCCACCTCCTACTTTGGCGAGTAGCAACTGGGATCTTAAAAGCTGCAAGCTGCCATCTAGATGCAACAATGGGTCTCTCCTCGTCGAGAAGAAGAAAATCAAAATTAATGGAAACAATCAGTCCTAGCGACTGGTACACCATCCGATCTGCAACCTATACAACAACTATGAGACCAGAAGAACTAGATGGTGCCCGGCTACCACTGTCATCCACTTGGAAGGGATGTAGGAGATCCTGCATAGAGAGGGAGAACAATGTGGAACAAAACTCAAAATCATTTGGAGGCAAAAAAAAAAAAAAAGAAGAAGGTGGGGACCAGGTTTGCTGGTCCAATAGAGCGTGGTGGAACCACTGAGACTATGGCCCCTAGCTGCCCTGCAGGTCTGGAATTGAAGCCACTCCTGTGGTTTCCAGCTAAACAAAGTACAGGCATGTGAATTAAACATTTACCTCAAGTAGACACACGCCCTGGATAGAACAATCAAGGGAGAAGGAAGGGCTGCTTATGCACAGGGAGAGAACTCAGGGCACAGAAGAGTATGCAGGGATGGACACTGGGAAGAGGTAACTATGGGGAGGAAGTGGGAGGGGAGCTGTTGCATTGTAAATTTTGGTCAATGACATGAGACAAAGTATATCATGTGAACTGCATGAAAGGGAATTTGCTCTGTAAATCTTCACCCAACTCAAAATAAAATTTTTTAAAAAAATGTAGTATTTCTTAGGTTATATGAATATGAACAACAAAATCGTTGTATAAAATCTTTCTACATTGAATTATTAGTTACAACACTATTAGTAACTGAACAGGATCCTTTTTTAATTTTATTTTTCTCTTTCTTTTCCTTTAAATACTACTTTATTCTCAAAAAAAGAGTACTGATGTAGGTCACAAATACTGATTACCGCAATACTGTAGCTAAAACACCAGAAAATCTGACAAAATCAGTGACTATAAAAACATCAAACATAAACCAAAACCACTGCCATTGAGTCGATTCCAACTCATAGTGGCCATAGGGTTTCCAAGGCTGTAACTCTTTACAGAAACAGATGCCTCATCTTCCTCCCGTGGAGCAGCTGGTGAGTTCAAACTGTGACCTTCTGGTTGGCAGCCAACTGCCTCAGCACGGGGCCACCAGAGCTCCTTATGAAAACACCAGTAGCAAGGAAAACAGCAGCACATGCCTGTAACAGGTGCAGAGCAACCGAGTGATCTGAAGATCACTGTCACTGGGTAATAAAAATAGCTCTGACTCCAACTCATTAGAAGGCTCAAGAGTGTGCAAAGAGTTTTTAGCCTTTTCGGTATCCTGATACACATGAGCTGGGCTTACATAAAATGTTTTTGTTGTTACAACAGGGGTATTTTTATTAAAAATAATAAATTTCTGCTGAAACACTGCATGAAACTTTACAGAGAGTCATTCTGGTGTCACTCCCTGACACTGTCACTCGGTGTGATCTGCACCATCTTCATGGCCCGAGTGGCACCACTGACTATACGGGAAGGTGTTATTTCCCAAGACCTAGCCAGTCACTCTGCCACTGAGCCCGAGTTACTCTTCTCCCACCCCATGGAAAATTCCACTGAAATGTGCATCTGATGTCCCACCCTCCTCCCTGCTTTCCCAGCCAGAGACAGACAGTGGGGGGGGGGGGGTTCTATGGCACCCACCCTGGCCTCACTTTGAGCTTCTAGTGAAAATTCTGAGCATAGAGACAACACTGAGTCCAAGACAAAAGGTCAAATCCAGGGTCAAAGGCTGACACCAGGACACTGCTTGGCTGCCAGGAACTCCACATCCCTAACTCTGAGATCCTTCCTCATCCCAAGACCCTCAAATCCATATCCCTCAAATCCATATCTCCAAAGACCCTTAAACCTACATCCCTCCACACCAAAAAGGGGAAAAAAAAAACCCAAAGCCACAGCCAGACATCCTGTCTCATTCTAACACCCTCAAATCCAGATCTTTGGAGTCTTCTCTTCCAAGACCCCCAAATCCACCCTGAGACCCCAAATCCAGAGCTGAGGGACTCCCCTATGCAGATACTCCAAAATATTCAGTTCTGGGGTTTATCTCCCCTCTCCCTCAAATCCAAAGCCCCAAGGTGCCCCTTCCTGAGGTGCCACAAATTTCATCTTGGGGCCCCATCACTGTTAATCTCCCTTGAGGTCTTACCCTTCTCCCTGGCTGGCTGCGTCCCAAGCTAGGCGGGGTGCATGGTGGTGGGGCGTGTAATCGGGACATGAGATGACAATTACACAATCAGAACAAAGGTCTGCCCTTCTCCCTCATGCAATATAAGGGCAAACCACTTCAAGCCATCCGTATCTGACCATCACCCTCACTGCCACCATGCTGGCCTCGGGGCTGCTTCTGGTGGCTCTGCTGGCCTGCTTGTCTGTCATGATCTTGACGTCTGTCTGGCGACAAAGGAAGCTCTGGGGGAAGCTGCCCCCTGGGCCGACTCCATTGCCCTTTATTGGGAACTACCTGCACCTGAATACAGAGCAGATGTACAATTCTCTCATGAAGGTGCCATGAGGCGGGTGATGGGTGGAACGGAGTCAGGGATGAGGGAAGACATGGTGGCAGGGGACTGACCAAATTGGACCAAAGTCCCAGGACAGGGGCCTTTGGGAGGTTCAGCCTCAGAGGCCTCATCAGGAAAGAGCAGATCTCAGGCTGCTCAGTCACTTACTGTCAGAGCCAGGAGGGAGACAGGCCAGCCTGTGGGGTCTAGGCACAGAGCCAGTTCAGAGGTAAGGCCCACTCCCTCTAAACACTGCCACCCACCTCCACCAGCTCAGCAAGCGCTACGGTTCCGTGTTCACGGTCCACCTGGGGCCCCGGCGGATCGTGGTACTGTGTGGATACGACGCAGTGAAGGAAGCACTGGTGGACCAAGCTGAGGAATTCAGTGGACGAGGCGAGCAGGCCACCTTCGACTGGCTCTTCAAAGGCTACGGTGAGGGGACCCCAGTGGGAGAATGTGGGCAGCAGACCCAGTGGCCTCCGTTTCCCTACCACCCCTCTCCCCAACTCACCTGCCCACTTCAGACTGTGGCAGACCCTTCCCTCAGGTCTTCCAGCTCCCCGTCCCTGCTCATTGTAACCTCTCCCTCAGGTCTAACCTGCCTGAGAGTTCCTGCAGCCCCGTATCTCCGTGTCTGTCTGTCTTCAACTCTCTCTCTATAAGCTATCATCTGGCCAGTGTCAGATGACCCGGTAAGCAAAGTAAGCATGGGCTTACGTGTGCCCCCTTACTAATGTGTAGTGAGCAATTCCAGTGTCTCACCACATCAAGGATTCTGCTTCTAGGCATGGCTGGTGTCTCTCTCCCAGCCACAGCACCTTCCTACAGAAACAAAGCCTCTTCAAACTTACAACCCCTGACAGGGACAGAGTGCCCAGCAAACATGGTAAGCACGGGCTTACTTGTGCTGAGCAGTTTCACAGCTGAAAACCCCACGTGAAACTGTTCACTACAGATCAGGCAGCAAGCACAAGTGAGCCCGCGCTTACCTTGCTTCTTTCTGGGTACCGCGCAGCCCTTAGAATCTCCCTACACGTCAGGATACCTTTGTCTTTTTCCCACTCTTTGCCTCTCTCTTCTCCTTCTTCCACTATTTTTGCCTCAAATCCCCTGCATCTGTCTCTGGTAACAACCTCCAGACCCTGCCTCTCTTTCTTTCCAACCGATCTTTTCTCCCTTCTCCAGTTCAGTTTTAGAATCCTCTCAATTTGTTTCAGCCTCTCAGCTCTCCATACACTTCGTTTCTCCTTTTCCTTCACCTGCCTCTCTCTCTCCAAGCCCGAATCTCTGCATCTCTCGGTTTCTCTGTTATCTGCCTTGCCTCTGTCTCTTCTGTTCCCGTTCTTCCAACTCGATCTCTGATTTCTCTGATTCTGTTTCTTCTCTCTGCGTCTCGCGCGCTCACGCTCTCTCGCTCGCGCGCGCGCTCTTTGCGGCTCTGCATCCTTCTCTCACTCCCTCTGCGCCCCCCTCTCCCGGGCTCTCAGAAGTCTGGGCTGTGGCCTGCCCCCACCGCTGACCTCCGCACCCCTTGGCACCCCAGGTGTGGCGTTCAGCAACGGTGAACGTGCCAAGCAGCTACGGCGCTTCTCCATCACCACGCTGCGGGACTTCGGCGTGGGCAAACGCGGCATCGAGGAGCGCATCCAGGAGGAGGCGGGCTTCCTCATCGAGACCTTCCGGGGCACGCGCGGTGAGAGGCGACCGGAGTGCGCGCGGAGGAGGAGGGAAACACCGGGCGGGAAGGACTGGCGCGCTCTGGCCCCGAGCAGGGGACCAGGCTGGGGAAAGGCGCCTGGGCTCCCAGCTCGGGTCTCATCACCTCAGTGCCGTCCTCCTGGAATTCTCAGACTAGCATTAGACCCCAGAATGACTCCCCCCAACCCGCTTCTCTCCCGGCCCCGCCCCCCAGGCGCCTTCATCGATCCTACCTACTTCCTGAGCCGCACCGTCTCCAACGTCATCAGCTCCATCGTCTTCGGGGACCGCTTTGACTATGAAGACAAAGAGTTCCTGTCACTGTTGCGTATGATGCTGGGAAGTTTCCAGTTCACAGCTACTTCCACGGGACAGGTAACGGGTCCTAGCCTGGCCCCACCACGCCCCTACCCCAACCTGCCAGCAGCTCCCCCACGCGGAGGTCGATGCCTCAACACCTCCTCAAGACAGGGTCCATTCCAAACCAGCCCATACTCCTGGACAGCTGAGTAGCTGCACCAGAACTCAGGAGAGGGGGCCAATACCCAGGCTTCACGGATACCTGGATCTCGCAACAGGTACCCCCCAAAAAAAAACAAAACAGAGCCTGCAAGCAAGATATATGCACTCAGCACCCCACTCACCTAGACAGGTGTTCCCAACCCAACTTACCTTAATATCTAGCAGGTGCTCCTTACCCTGCCCACCTCCCAAATCCCTAAACACTGAATCCCCAGTGCTGTAAAATTCAACCCCCCCAAATCCTCTGACATTTATATAGGTGTCCCCAATCCAGCCCCCTACAGTATGTAGACAGTGCCTCCTACCCAACCTACTTAAATACTTGAACACCTGGAGAGGTACCCCAACTAAGACCCCTGCACACCTGGACAGATTGTTCTTTGAACACCCAAATAAGTGTCCCCCAATCCATTCCACTTGAACACCTTCAGAGGTACACCCTATACAGCCCACTTAAATATCTGAATACATGAATAGGTAGCCCACAAACCAACCCGCCGTTAATACCTGAGCACCTGTACAGAAGCCCCCAGTGCACATCCCCTTCTTATTGTTGCTATGTGCCGTCGAGTCGGCCCTGTCTTATAGCGACCCCTCCTTGGGTTTCTGAGGCAGCATCTCTACTAGAGAAGTAGATTGCTCAACCTTCCTTCCAAGGAGTGGCTGGTGGGTTTGAACCGCCAGCCTTCTGGTTAGCAGTCAGGTGCCTTAGGCACTATGCTACCAGATATGTATGGGGACAAGTGTCTCCACCCTAGCCCACCTGAGTGCCTAAACACCTGGACAGGTACCTCCCAACCCAACCTCACTTGAATATATGACACTTGGATATGTGCCCCAATTCATTTCACCTAAATTCTTGGTTAGGTACCATCACACTTAACCCACCTGAAAACTTAGGTATATACTTCCATGCAGCCTCACCTAAAATACCTGGTGTTTACCTAGACAAGTGCCTTGAACCCAGTGCCTGCCTTCCCTGAGACGAGGTTCCTCTCCCATCGGGTCCTGCCCACTGACTGCTGTGTCCTTTCCTGTCCTGTCCTCCCACCCCCAGCTCTATGAGATGTTCTCCTCAGTAATGAAACACCTCCCAGGACCACAGCAGCAAGCCTTTAAGGAGCTGCAGGGGCTAGAGGATTTCATAGCCAAGAAGGTGGAGCAGAACCAGCACACGCTGGACCCCAACTCCCCACGGGATTTCATCGATTCCTTCCTCATCCGCATGCAGGAGGTACATCCCAGCAGCCAGTGCAAAGGGGAGAGAGCTGGTTTCCAAAGCCGGCAGAGGGAAGTCAGGCCAAGCAGGAGCACAGCGGCCCATTCAGACTAGCCCCTCATCATACTAACCCCCACAGTCCCGATTATAACTAACCACCACTGTTCCACAGACTGTGCCCTCACCCATGACACAACCTCTGCACGTGAGTCATGACTGGTGCACTTCTGTTGCACGACTGGCTCCTCTGGGCGGCACAAATGGTTGAGCATGGGGCTACCAACCAAAATGCTGGTAGTTCGAATCCACCCAGAGGCTCCAGGTAAAGAGACCTGGTGCTCTGCTTTCAAAGGGCCACATGAAAAGCCTTGAAAAAGCCACAGAAACCCTCACAGAGAGCAGTTCTGCTCTGAAACACACGCGGTCTCCATGAGCTGGAATTGACTCAATAGCAACTAGTTTTTGTTTTTTTTTTTCAATTGCACTAGCAGATGCCAGCCACTATTTTAAGTGTGTTATAGTATTTTCCAAGGAGCTCTGGTGGCACAGTGCCTAAGATTTGACTGCTCACCAGAAGGTTGGCAGTTCAAACCATGGAAGGAAGACTGGGCAATCTACTTCTATAAAGATTTACCTCCTCGGAAACCCAAAGGGGGTTCACTGTGAGTTGCAATCGACTCAGTGGCAATGAGTTTGGTTTTTGGTATAGTATTTGCCTGTTGAACATTTGCAAGCTCCTTGAAGGACATTCCATTGTGACCTCAATTTTACAAATGAAGACACTCAGGCTTGGAGAAGACAGCCTGAGGTCACACAGCCAGGAAGTGGCAGAGTCTAGCTCTAACCCTAGTCTCTCGACCCTAAGGCTGGTGCTTTCAGCCACCATGCTTTCTTACCTTGGTTAGCAGACACCTGTAGGGACTGGAAACCTGGCTTTACTATGTGACAGTGTAGGGTCCCCACCCCTGTCCAGATGTCAGTCTCCCATCTGTGCAGATGGGCAGTATGGAATCTGCCGTTCAGGGTAAATGTGTCAAAAGGGGAGAGTCTTCCACTACAAACTTCAGGATTTTCAGTGAAAGGACTAGGATGCCGTCACTACAACTCCATGTCTCAGAAAATCGGGTTTGATTTCTGACTCAGTCCACCTCTCCATCTCTGTCCCTCTCTCACACTCACCATCCCTCTCTATCCTTCTCTTTCCAAATATTCCTGCCCAAAAAAGTGATGATTCAAAGGCAGGCAGTGAGCCAGGCAGAGCCAACAGAACCTGGAGACCGGAGAAAGCATGGCAGATCTAGGGTCCCCCTTCCACTTCTGGTCTAAAGAAAATGAGCCCTCAGGGATCTAAGAGAGGTGGGTCCATAGGGACAACCCCTAAAGGGTCCTTCGAGAGTAGGGAGCAGGCTTGGCCTGAAACCCCCTCTCCCCACAGGAGAAGAACAACCCCAACACGGAGTTCTACATGAAGAACCTGGTTCTGACCACACTGAACCTCTTCTTCGCGGGCACTGAGACCGTCAGCACCACCCTGCGTTACGGCTTCCTGCTGCTCATGAAGCACCCAGATGTGGAGGGTGAGGCTGGAAGGAGCTTTATCTCTGACTCAGAAATTCTCTGAACCCATTAAAATGCACCCCCATCTCTCCCAGATCCCTGAACCCTTAGATACTCCCTGAGGCTCAGAGAAAGGGTGCTGTTCAGCTGACAGGCACCAGGTGAGTTTCACTAGCTATTGAAATAATGCAAATGTATGAACTTCTAGCTCCGGTGCTCAGCCCACATAGTACCTGCTGCCCCGTGCTCTGAACCAGCCCCTCAGCCCCCTTGCACCTCCCCTATGATCCTGCCACAGATGTGCCCACCAGGCTCTGCTCCAGCAACATGTATGGCTGGCCTGTTTTGAATGGTCTACATCCATGTCACAGGGAGCCCTGGATGGCACAAATAGTTAAAGCATTCCACTCGTAGCTGAAAGGGTGGTGGTTTGAACCTACTCAGAGGCACCTCACTAGAAAGGCCTGGCAATCTGCTTCGGAAAGGTCACAGCCTTGAAAACCCTAGGGACAGTTCTGCTCCGCACACTGGGGTCACTGTGAGTCGGCATGAAACCCTTAGATACCTAAATGCATCCTCCCTCCTCCCTCAGCCAAGCTGCACGAAGAGATTGACCGGGTGATCGGCAAGAACCGTCAGCCCAAGTTTGAGGACCGGGCCAAGATGCCCTACACAGAGGCAGTGATCCATGAGATCCAGAGATTTGGAGACATGATCCCCATGGGTGTGGCCCGCAGGGTTGTCAAGGACACCAAGTTCCGGGACTTCCTCCTCCCTAAGGTACTGTCCTGCCCAGCCCAGAGGGCCTTCCAACCCTCTGACCTCTGAATTCTTAGAAGCTTTCCAGCCCCCATCCCAACTCCCTCAGTCAAAGATCTTCCCACTGGGGGACTCTAATCCCTTTATCTCCCCCACACTTCTGCCTCGGGAGACATAAATCCATGTCCCTCAAATGTCCTGCCTCAGGAGACACAAATTGCATGTCCCCCAAACCTGTCTCAGAAAACACAAACTTCACATCCCCCAATTTCCTCTCAGGGAGCATGAGCCCCACGTCCCCCAAACTTCCTGTCTTGGGAAATATGAACCCTCAAATCCCCCAAACCTCCTGTTTCAGGGGACACAAAATTCCTATCCTCCAAAGCAACTTCTTCAGAAGACCCCCCAACTCCCATACCCCCATTTCCTTTCACCTCTTTCCAACTCTTCCAACTCCCCCATTCTGGTTTTAACTCCCATGTGCTCCCAGCATTCCCACCCTCCACTCAGCCTCATCATATCTCCCTCCCTCCTCCCCACCAGGGCACTGAAGTGTTCCCCATGCTGGGCTCTGTGCTGAGAGACACCAAGTTCTTCTCCAGCCCCCAAGACTTCAACCCTCAGCACTTCCTGGATGAGAAAGGGCAATTTAAGAAGAATGATGCCTTTGTGCCCTTCTCCATTGGTAAGAGACCACTGTCTGCTGCCAGACCATGGCACATACCACCAGGGGCCTCCCTCATCCCGTTCAGTTCCTCTGAGGTGTAGCTTCCTATCTTTCTCCAGCTTGGAAGGCCCTCTTAGAAGCTACCCTTGAGCCACCCTGCTGTAACCTCCATTAATACGAAGCACCAAGGACCTGCACCTAGGCAAAAAGGAAGGGGTGATCGAACCATCTCGGAGATTAGGAAAATAAGGCTCAGAGTGAGAGTGGTCCAAGGCCACACAACAGACCCCAGATTCCTAAGAAGGTAATGACAGCATAGCTGCCATATTTATTAGGAAGGGGCATCTAACGTTCCCATTGCTATAGCCTGGCAGGGGTCATCCCTGTCTCATTACAGGGGAAACCGAGGCACAGAGAGCATTAAAGGCTTCCAGGAAAGTTTCAGGCCACACTATCCAGCCCCTCCTCTCTAGGAGAATGTTAACTGGGAATCGGAAGTGGGGCGAGGCTGCAGTGAGAGTCGCCTCACTTCCGGCCCTTCCACCTCACCTCTCCAGGAAAGCGGTACTGTTTCGGGGAAGGTCTGGCCAGAATGGAGCTCTTTCTCTTCCTTACCACCATCCTGCAGAACTTCCATTTCAAGTCCCCGCAGTCACTGAAGGACATCGATGTGTCCCCCAAACATGTGGGTTTTGCCACCATCCCACCAAACTACACTATGAGCTTCCAGCCCCGCTGAGCAAGCGCAGTACTAGGGCGGGGCTCCTGGGAGGGGCAAATGGGGAGGGGGTGGGGCTAAAGGACTGGGCGGAGTTGAAGCAGAAAGCTGAGGGCAAAGGAGGACCAGACCGTGGACAAGAGGACAACAAGAAACGCTATGGGCCCTGTCCACTTGCAAGAGAGAGACCCTTCAGAGGTGGGATGGGAGGAAGGAAATCCTTACAACTATCTTGTAGATAATAATAATTACTATTATTTATTAAGTACATGCTCTGTGTTAGCGCTTTACTAAAAGCTTTAACATACACATCACTTAAAGCTCACAAACCTATGCTATAGGGACGGTGTCCATGCCCATTTTACAGACAACACAGCTGAAGTTCAGAAAGCTTAAGTCTCTATCCGCGGTCTCACAGAACACAAGTACTTGAACCCAGATCTGTGCAGGGATGGCTAGGCTTAGCCTACAGTTCTTGAGGCAGATGCATAAAAGACACGGCTTTCTCAAGTAAAACAGCAGCTTAGTATATTGCAACATGATCTGGACAGATCTATCCAGGGGGCTTTCCTGCCCTGGTGGGCAGCTGACCTGATTTCACCACACACTTGCTGGCCACACTGTTGCCCGTTCGTGAACACCTCGGGTGCCAGGGCATAATTCTGTGCCTGCCCCCAGGTAAGACCTTGGTGTCGGGTTCAGAGTTGATGGGAGGACAGGAACCAGACCTCTTAATGAGGTGGGTGAGGGAGAGAGAGACTGGCAGGGACTATGGGAGAATGTTGGATCACGGGGATGCATTTCTTTCCATTGCACGTGGCGTCACCATGCGTTGGGGGCCAAATTGACAGCGGCTAACAACAGCAGCATTTGACAGCCCGCGTCCATCCATGCGCACATGTCTTTAGGAGGCATCTAGAAACCTTGCCTCACAGAACCTTAGAAGTGTTCAGTTACAAAACTGTCAGATCTTAGAACTACAGAGTCCCCAGTTCAGGATCTTGGAATCTCAGATTCCCAGCATCTTAGACTGAGAACATTTGAGTAACTATGCTTGGAAGTATGGGGGCTCAGGATTTTGGCATCAGGGGTTGCTCTGCACACCTCTTTGAGAACTGCATTCTCAGCACCACAGCCAAATGTCATTCTTCCGAGTTGAATGTTCCTTCTGGGAAAGCAGAGAGAGAAGAAAGCAGGGGCTAGAGCTAACTGGGTTCTGCCAAAGGGAGGTACCTCCTGAGGAAGACAGAGTAGGGAGGAGATCTTTGCCCTGCAGGGGGATGAGAGGGAAGAGGGAGTGCGTCTTAATCCCCATAACCCTCAAACTCACACTTTGAAAGTAGAAAGCAGTAGATCAAAGCATTACCAGAGATGCTGAGAGAAGTCACATTCCAGCCATCAACACCTAGTCAGTCACACTTGTCCAAACAGGACAAGCAATGAGATCGGGCTGGGGACTGAGGAGAACGGGAGCCTGAATTCCAGTCCAGGCTCTGCTGCTAATTTCTTGGGGATTTTCTTTATATATATATAATTTAATTTTGTTGTTGCTGAAAATATACACAGCAACGTATAAACCAATGCAACATGTACAATTCAATGACATTGATTACATTCTTCGAGTTATGCAACCATTCTCACCCTCCTTTTCTGTGTTGTTTGTCCCCCATGAGCATAAACTCACGGCCCCCTAAATTTCCTAGCTAATCTTTCAGGTCACTGTTGTCAATTTGATCCTGTATCTATAGATCTTAAAAAAAGCATAATGCTCAAGGCAGACTTTTTTTTTTTTCCCAGTTAAGCTAAAGTATTATTTGGTTTTAAGAAGATTTCAGTGGATATTTTTGGTTTAAGATGTAAAGATGATCTCAGGGCAACAGTTTCAGGGGTTCTTCCAGCCTCCATGGCTCCATATAGTCTGGAGTCTATTAGAATCTGACATTCTGTTCTGCGTTTTCCCCCTTTTGATCAGGATTCTTCTATAGAAGCTTTGATCAAAATGTTCACTAATGGTAGCTGGGCACCATCCAGTTCTTCTGGTCTCATGGCAAAGGAGGCAGTTGTTCATGGAGGCAAATAGCCACACATTCCATATCCTGCTCCCATTCCTGACTCTCCTTCCTCCTCTCTTGCTCCTGCTTCTCTGCTAACATGAAGGACTGTCTGTGGTGATGTCACTGGGCCTTGCATGACCATTTGCAAACTTATAAGACCTCTTAGATATTCTTGAGCCTCTCTGTCTGCCCTTACTTTCTCATCTGTCTCATTCCTCCACAGTAATTACATGAAGGTCAAAACACAGCCCAGTGCTGAAGAGCTGTGGGGATGGGAGGCTGAGAGTGGTGATGTTCCTGAGGTAGTTTATTTTTCACCACCCTCTTCTGCCAAACCAAGAGTCCCTAGAGTTAAACCATGCATGACACAAACATATGCACACGTGCACACACTCCTACACACACATACACACATACACACACACACCTGTTTTTGCCATAGCAACAATAGCAAGTAGCATGTTGTCCTACTTTGTAAGTGCTACTATACCAGAAATACCACAAGTGGGTGCTTTTGAAGAACAGAAATTTATTTTCTCAAAGATAAGGAGGCTAGGAGTCTGAATTCAGAGCACTGGCTTGAGGGGAAGGCGCTCTGTGTGTGTGTGTGTGTGTGTGTGTGTCAGTTCTGGGGAAAGATACTTGTCTCAGCTTCTGTATTCCCAGTGTTCCTCAGTTCCTTGGCGATCTTCATGTGGCATCTGTCCCCCATTTGTGCTTGCTTCTGTCTGTGTCAAATCTCCTCTTTTTAAATCTCAAAAGTTACTACGTTTAAGATGCACCTACACTGATATGGAGGAGCTCTGGTGGCGTGGTGCCTAAGGTGTTTGACTGCTAACCAGAAGGCTAGTGGTTCAAACCCATGAGCCACTCCTTGGAAGGAAGGTTGGGCAATCTACTTCCATAGTGATACCGCCTTGGAAACCCAAGGAGCAGTTGCTATGAGTCAGTCGTGACTCATGAGTTTGGGGTTTTTTTTGTTTTTGTTTTTGTTTTTTTGGTACACTGATATGGCCATAATAAAGAACACTTTATTCCCAAATAGGATTACATCCACAAGTATAGGAGTTAGGATTCTAACACATGTCCTGTAAGAACACAATTTAATCCATAGCACATGTATTGAGTGCCTCCTATGTGCCAAGCACTGTGCTAAACCCATTTTCTTAGACTGGGTTTCCAGAGAAGCAAAACCAGTGATGCTCATGTATAGAGAGAGATTTATCTACAGGAAATGGCTCACACAGTTGTAGAGACTGACAAGTCCCAAGTCTGTGGGTCAGACATCAGACTGAAGGCTTCTCCTAACTCACATAGCTGTAAGGACTGATGAACCCAAGATCGGCAGGTTGCTGGCTCACAGGCTGCAGAGGCTGACGAATCCAAGATTGACAGGCTGCTGGCTCAAGTCCAAAGAACCGGAGGTCAGATGGCGACAAGCCAGATGCAGGATCAGAGAGCTTCGTCAGAGTGTCCATGTATCCATATATCCATATATATGTATATATAGGAAGCAGGCCACATCCCCAAAGACACTCCCTTTCAACTGACTGGCTGCTCACAGCAGATCTCATCATGGAAGAGCTTACATTATATCAAATATTATGGGTAATGATAACTGCAAACCACTAAGAATCATGGCCCAGCCAATTTGACACACAAGCTTTACCACCACACACATCATGCACGAACTCATTCAATCCTGTAAACACCATGTGAGATGATGATGGATGACCCCACATTACAAATGAGGACATGGTCTCAAAAGTTTAGGAACTTGTCCAAAGTCACTGCAAAAAGGTCAAGGGGGAGGCAGCAGCCAACTTCCTCTAGCTTCCCAAGAGGGAGAGAGAATTACCATCAGCAACATCAGCCCAAGGCTGATTCCTATGAAGCAGAGGTCAGACATGCCAGCACCCCCAACATGTTTACCAGTTCTGACACCAACCATCCTCCACACCCATGGCACTCTCTACTTCTCTGCTGGGTTCAATAATTCATTGCAATGGCCACACAAAACTCACAGACTATGGCATTTATTAGGGAAGTAACAGGTTACAGTTCAGGATCAGAAACAATTCAGGATACAGTTCTTCAGGCAGGATAGCTTCTTCTCAACCATGCCACAGGCATGCTTCTCTTTGGCCTCGGCCTCAGCCTCTGCTCTGCTCAGACCAACGTTACAAATCTCTTTTAGCTTTGCTGTTAGGTGCCCAAAGAGCACCCTACTTCACCAGCAAGCCTCCTGCCCAAGACACTCAGCTTTCTCTCTCCATAAGCTGAAAGGCCCACTGCTCCTTCTCATGCCAGTCTCTTGACTCTGCTGCCACCATCTCTCTGCTGTTTCCCTGCCAAGGCTTGGGTCCAATGATGTCCTGGTTCTTCTGTCTTGATGGTAGTGAGATCCCCCTTTCTGCCTCTGGGATGACTCATTTTAAGCCTAGTGGAATGACAAAATTGGCCAATCCCCAGGTTAGAGTTCCATACACATTATTTGCATGGTCCCACCCTCACAAGAGTGCCATGGACCTTATTTACATGATCCAATAGGCTATCCAAATGCACCTCACATTTGCATAATTTCACCCAGTCATCTGGTGAAAGTCACAAAGACCATATTATATAATTCACTGAGTCACAAGCCACACCCTGGCGCTTCTAGCCATTGGCCCTTTCATACGTGAAAGATTAATGTCCCCTTCCCAATCATTTTAAGTATAAGTACACCCATGAAAGTGTGTAAGCCAGTACTCCATGCCTTTATCTCCCCCCATTTTAAATAGCCACTTTCTAAATTGCCCATCCCTATCAAACCAGCCCTCTGAAGAGACAAGCATGTTCCTTTCTCTGAAGAATCTTCTGCTCCAGTTAGAACTTTGAGAATCTGCATCCGTAAGCAAAATCCAGTCTAGAGCAAACCATCAAATTGCAGCAATTTATACCAGCTCAGCGTCAAACATCTTCCTCTTCATTCAGTTGGGTTCTGGTCAGCTCCACCCCAGCCATCCAAGCTAGGTCATGGTTACCAGCTGCAAGCTTGGGAGTTCACACACCTCTCTGCAC